TCCTTCAATGACCACAAATTTTTGTCAAACGAATTGCGTAACATATACAATGAAATCAAGTTTACAGCCGGTACAGAAGATTGTTTTGATGGGTTAAATTCATATAATCTATAAATCACTACGAGTATACACAAATATTTTACGTGCATTTGATAAACGTTGATTACGTAAAACGTTATGTATTGGAATCGGACTGTAAATGCTGAATTTAATATAAATGTATGAAATCGGTTTTTGTGTTGAATTTGCTTTATAATTTCCGACGGATTTTAATCTACAGATACGGAATTATGCAACAATTCAAATATTCTGCATTCAAATTGAACTAAATCGAATTGAAATTTAAACATCATGAATATTGCAACTTCCTAATTAAAATTGATTAAACGCCATAGGAAATGAAAACCCATAATTGAAATCGATTAAAAACTTTATATGCAAATTGATGAAATTAATCAAAAATTATGAAAACTGCGAGATCCTAATTGAAATCAATTGGAATCAAATTAAAATGAATAAATTGCAAATGGCGGAATAAATTTCAGACCAAAATTTAAACTAATAAATACAAATGAACATTGCAGAATGATTGAAATTAAACTAAAAAATTATAAGAATTGCAATAATCTATCATTGAAAGTAAAAAAAAATGCAAGATTACAATTGAAACTAATTATTAACCTGAATAAAAATATGAAAGTTACATTATTAGAATTAGTTAAAAATCATAACAATGGCAAGATGTTAATTGAATTGATAATTCAAAGTCAAATTATATGGAATTTGACAATTCACAATTATGAAATCAAATAAAAACCATATTAAAATCTATGAAAACCGCAAAATCATTAAAATTAATTAATCGAAAATTATAAAAATTGCAAAATCCTAATTGAAATCAAGTAAAAACAATACAATAAATTATGAAAATTGCAAGATCATTAAAATATAAATAAAAATCATGTAACAATTCCAATTAACGAAGTAAAAATAATAATTTAATTATTTTAAATTTATTTAGAAACTTGTATTGCAGGACCATGGAAACTAAATAAAACCAAATGAAAATTGCAAAATTTTAATCGAAATTTATCAAAAATCGAACGTATTCAAACTATAATGAGATTATGACAATTGCAAAACCATAAATATAATTTAAAACTATATAAAAATGCAAGATGCTATTTAAAACTAATGAAAATTATAATATCTTTGAACTTAATTACACGAAAATTTCAGAAAAATTGAAATTAGTTAAAACCAAATAAGATTCCGATTGAAATTATTTATAAACCTTAATGAAAATTGTGAAAGTTGCAAAGCCATTGAAATTACTTAAAAATTGAAACAAAAAGATTTTAATTAAAATTAATCAAATGTCATGATAGATGGAATTTGAAAAACATAACTAAAACAACTAAAATCCATATTAAAACTTATATAAACTGCAATATCATTAAAATGAATTATTAGGAATTAGGAAAATTCAAGATTCTAATTCAAGTTAAAATGTATATTGAAACTCATGAAAATGTGCGAAGTCATTGAAATTAAAAACAAAATTTGATAATTACAGAACAATATTTTAATTATTTAAAATTTATTTAAATAAATAAATTGCAGGATAATTGAAATTTAACGAAAATAAAAATTACAAAATCTCGATTAAAATCAAAAGCCATATTAACACTTACAAAAAATGGAAAATTTTAATCAATTTATCAAAAACCAAATTTGTCCAAACCAATGTAAGAGATGATAATTTCAAAATCGTATATGATATTAATTTAAAAACCATATGAAAAATGCAAGATCATAATTGAAATTACCTCTAATTAATTAATTAGAAATTATGAATAAATCAACTTATTGAATAAGTTATGAATTTGCAAATTATTATTTTTAACTTCCCGTAGGGCAAGTTATAGTAATCGCAAAAAAATCGAAAATGAAAATTTTTGCATTTCTCGGCGTTTCAAAGGTTTCTGAATATTTTGGCATACCTTATTTTAGAAAAAATGGATGTATGTGTGTGTGTGTGTGTGTGTGTGTGTGTGTGCGTGTATGTATGTGCGGATACAAATTTTCGTCGACGATTTCGGGAACACCGATCAACCGATTTGAATAATTCAAAAAACATTCGATTCGTATTGATAAGGAGACGTGCTGATTAGTTTTTGGCAAAGTCAGGTCTAGCCGTTCCGAAGATACGAGGCAAAAAGTGCCGAAAACGGTAACTCAGTTTTTAAGAGAACGGAGCGTCCGATTTTAATAATTCAAAAAACATTTTACTTGTATTGACAAGGTGAAGAACCTATCAAATTTTCATAAAGGCAGGTCTAGCGGTTTCGGAGATCTAATGAAAAAAGTAAAAAAAAAGCCATTTGGCGGTCAAAAATGATCATTAGACATATGCACATCAAATTATCAGATATTTTATAGAGATTTTAATAATAAGTATAATTTTGGTTTACATTCCTATGAGTTCCGTACCAATGTTTACGCGTTAGACGTCGACGCGGCGCTTACGCGGTTTGATATTTCGTCTTTATGCAGTTAAAGCAGTACGGTTGCTTTGAAAAAAAGTTTAGATCTTTCAAAATATATCAAAATAAAGAAAACTTTTTTTTTTCAAAAAAAAAAAGAATTAAAAAAAAAAAATTTTTTTTAAATTTTTCTTCAAAAAAAAGTAATTTTTTGTCTAATTGTTTGTCAAAAATCTTATTTTTTCGAAGTAAATTTTTTTCAAAAATGTTAATCGTTTTTAAAAAAATAATTTTTGGTACGGGAAGTTCCAGCAATTTGCCTTAAGGCACGATGCCTTAATTGCCTTAAGACAGAATTCCACTTACAGCTAGTTAATTTTATTATTGCTTTATTTTATTTACTGTAATAAATAATTTTCAAACCAATCAACAAATATATGATGAAAATGATTATTTTCATGACTATATTTTATAATCGATTAAATTTGTAATGTAATTGATGTGCACATTACTATTTTATTTGCTGAGAAAATAATTGACGAATAAATTGTCAAATATATAATTTAATTTTCATTATTAGCTCATTTCAATTGTTTCTTAATTTTTCATAGTGCCAAAGACTTGTGTGATAAATTACCACATTTCTATTTTCCATATCGTTGCTAGTAAAAGTATAGATTTAGGTTGGAATACAAAAATTTTATACATTTTTTACAAAATAAAATTACCTGCACGTTTTCTAATAGAAAAATCTAATTCTTTTCTAATAGTAAATCGACTATCAAATAATTGAAAATAGTAGACATTTTATAAACTATTTTTATAAAAACTGCAAATTTTATTTTCAAATTTTCAAATTTATCAATCAAATCACACCACTGCTAATAATATTTAAGCATGAACAGATGTTTCTGAAAATTGTTCAATAATAAACTAATTTTTAAAACAACAATTTTTAAAATTTCAAATAAACAATTTTTAAAATTTCAACTACTTTTATATAAAAATTGAATAAAATAAATTTTAAGGTAAAATTAAATTTCGTTCGTCATGAAGCATTATCGTCAAAACATGAAACATTTTGAATAATAATTCCATTAATCATATTTACAATTTAAAAATTACTACAAATATACACAAATAATTTACGTGCATTTAATAAAGATTGATTGCATAAAATTTGATGTATTGTAATCGGACTGTAAATGCTTAATTTAATATAAACGTATGAAACCGGTTCTTTTGTTAGATTTGCTTTATAAATTTGGAGAGATTAGTATCTACAGATATGGAATTATGTAACATTTCCAATATTCTGAATTTAATGTGAAGTTTTGTAAAACAAATTATTGCAAATGCATATATATAGGTCTTTAACAGGCAAAAGTAGAAAAATATCGCATTAAAATAATAAAATAGCAAATGAGTTAATTATAAAATACTGAAATATACGCAGATATTTTCTACACAACATGACCAACTTAATTTTTGTAAAATAATCATTTAAAAATCTAATATTCGATTATTTGGATTCAATACAATACAATACAAATTTATGCAATCTTATCTCATCGTTTGGGCAATTACTTGTATAAATTTGATATTTTACTAAACAAAAAATTCAAGTATCTACTGTAATTTAAACTTGAAAATTACAAGTTTCTAATTCTAATTTGATAATTTTACTAGCAATAACACGCGAAATGAAAATGTCGCAATTTATTGAACACAAGTCTTTAGTGAACAAAATGGTTTATAAATCTGACAAAGATAAAAAAAATAATGAGCATTTAGCGTAGTTTTAAGAATACCAAGCTGTGGTATTAAGTTTTGATTGATCGTCTTTAATAAAAAATGATCTTTTGACTGATTTTTGGCTACAAAAAAATCAACATTCGAGTAAATTATGATAAGATTTCAACGCTATGGACTGTACTTAATACAGTTTAAATTATTGTTATATAATTGAATGTGAGAGTCTTATTTGAATAGGAAATAAAACATCTACCTATAATGATATCGTGCGAGGGCACGTAGTTCAATTGCAAAAATTTCATTATCATTTTGGTTTTCTACGTAGTTAAAAGGAATCATTCTAATGCACCCAAAAGTAATACATTATAATATGACTGAAATTATTTAACAAAACAAGAAAAGACTACGTCATCTTCTATTATGCTACAAATCCAAGCGCAATTTTTTTAAAAAATATAACTTGTTTTGCAAGTCAAAACTATTAGTAATAAAATCTAACAAGCAACTCAGTATACTTTAAACTAATATTTGAAAGTTTAAATGGATAGATGATTTCAAATATTTCAGAAAATTTTAGTGATATATAAATCAAGATGTACTCGGACGCCGCAGTAACTGCGTTCACGCAAACAATTCATTTCGTATAAGAAAAGCCAAAATGATCAAAACTGAAAATAAACCTACAAGTTCTACGTATTACGAAATCAACTTGAAAACCCTGAAATTAATACAAAAAATATGTACCACTGACCTTTTCTCCTGTAAACTGTATTGCATCAGGTTCAATGCCTCACGTAAATTAGACTGCATCAATTTTAATTTCTCCTGTGAAATGGACTGCAACATCTTGTCTGGACTACCAAATTGTTGTAACTGCAATAGAAATCATTATCATTAGATAGGCGTGAAACGATTTTATTGTTTAAAAATATTGCATTTCGATATAAATTCATAGTTACCTCAATATGTACTAAACGTAATCGGTTATCGGAATCGCAGCTTCGATACAGAATTCAATTCACTCACTGAACATACTGAACTACATACCGAAAATCAAAAACTTATTTGAAAAAAAAAATCACTTAATAAGGGCACAATTACAAACCCTTGAAATTAATATAAAATTATCGCACTATTAAACCGAATTCAATTCGTAACTATGTTGAACTTACGAAACAATCCGGTCGAGTCCACTTCGCCGAGACCCTTCTAGCCGTACACCGCCGCAGTCGAAGGCCAAGTGCTGTCGATGCTGTCGATGCACGCCAATCCCCACCGCTCGACACGCGTGCCGGCGTCTACGCATCGTATCTTTGTCCTTGTCTTGCGCATTAATCCTATGCGTGGAATAGAGTGCGAAATAGTGCTCGAGCGCAATCGCACATTTGCATAATACATTTGTCCTTCTCTGTCCTCAGCTTTGCATAATCGGCGCAGCGCTTCTGTCTGTCGGCAGACTGCGACGTAAAATTATATTATATTTCTTTTTTATTTCGATCGACATATATAAAAACTCTTTTTCTGTAGAATTTATGTTAAAAGTTTATGAAAATAATAACACAACCGTTCAGGCAGAAGGATAAAAACAGACTGACTGATTCTTTATGATACTGATATATTCTTTAAATAATCACTTTGAATCGTTTATGAATTTTTAATTATTTTAGACATAATATAAAAAGACGGAATATTTTATCTAGATTTGAATCTAATAAAGAAAACGTGTGAGCAATTTCAATAACATTAAAAATATTTAAGACTACTATATGTGCAGGACATTCTCTGATGCCATTCTTGCTTCAAAACACCGTTTTGTTGAAATCCAAAATGAACCTTTTTCGCATAAAAAGAAGTTTGCAAACTACAATTATTTTATTATTGGTTTTCCATTGTAATTTGTAACACCAAAATCAAAGCATCCGATATATTGATATAGAAACAAATCAAATATCTGAATCAAACATTATTATAAAATTAAATCAATCAATACAAAAATTACACTTTAGAAAACGGCTCGGTAGATTTTCACCAAAAACTAATCAGTATCATTCCCAACTAATATCTTTCGAACATTTTTTTTTTTAAAATCGATTCGGTAGAATGAGCTTAAATGTGGACGAAAAGTTTAACACTTTTTTTTCAAATTACAAAGAAACGGCTTGGCAGATCGTCTCACAAAACTGAGCAACTATAGTGCTCATTGAGATACATCGAATGACTTAAATTTCTAAAATCAGTTCAGGCGTTCTTAAGCAAACGTCGATTAAATGCCAGAAAAACGATACCAATTTTTGCAAACTTTGACGAATTTTTAAAGTTAAACCGATAGTCGTAGGGCCGTAATATTTTAGTATGATCTAGAAGACGATGGTATGTACTGCAAAAAAAATTACAAAAATCGTCGAAATTTTTTTGGAAACGTGACGAAAAAGTTTTCACTTTTCTGCTATTTACAAAGAAGCGGCCTGGCCGATCGTCGCACAAAACTCATAAACCTTAAGTCGTCATCGAGATACATCGAATGGCTTTTAAATTTTGGAAATCGGTCCAGCCGTTTTTGAGAAAACGTTGATTTACGGCAAAAAATTTGTTCACACACACGCGCGCACACACACACACATACTTTTTCCAAATTTGGTCTCATTCGATTCAGAATGGCTTGAAACGTCGAGAAAACATATAATTAGCAAATCGGATCTTTTGATGAAAACATAAACTTCTCCTTCGGGAAGTTAATAAACACGTAATTAATATTACAAATAAAGTGTTTTACAACAAATCATTGGTCCTTCGAAAAATCAATCAAACCTAACAAACAGTAATATTCTACTACTATCGACGCCACATCTATAGTTCTATAATCTAAAGCCACCAATCTTTCAAATGCTATAAACATTTAAAAAAAAATTGTTAAGAATTAGAAAGATATTGGCATAAATTCGGAAATTTCAAATTAGACGCAAATAGTGTAGTTAGTAGAAAAATGATTTATCAATAATGAATTTTTTAAAACTCGTCAGAGGAAGATAATACGCTACTTTGACAAGATTTGCAAATTCATTTTCAGGATATTAAAAGTTTGTTCAAAGTGAATATATTTGATCGAGTAATCGACATTATTATTAAACAAATTAAAACGCGTTTCTTCCGATGAATTAATATGTTTCAAATTTCAGTATGTTGCTACAATAAAAGATTTCAATGATACTGATCTATTAAATAAAAGTTCTAAAATTTCTTTAGATAAAAAAGACATTAGAAATTCAGAATAAACAAATTTTAAAATCATTATTTAATAGATCAGTACCATAAAAAAAAACTTTTGTTCAGATTCTGAACCATTTGCCAGGGAAGTTTAGTTTGCGATCAACTCTTAGAGGCGGAATACGAAATACCTACTTCGGTAAGAAAAGATTTCATTTACTAAATAGCTTATTGAAGTTAACATTTTATTTTTAGTTCAAAACAAAATATATACATGGTTCATGCTATTGTTTCCTAATAAGCTAGACGACAAATGGTTTCATCTTCGTTATAAAAATCGTCTAAAAAGTATTGAAACGGATTGGAAAATAATAATCTAGATATCAATGATCAAATATATGATGAGAAAATATATGTTAAATCACAAAATATTTATTGTTAAAACATTTTAATTGCCCGAGGTTTTTCTCGGACTACGGTAATAAATTGCAAGTAATTAAAAACTATGTTGGAACTGATTAAAAATGCAGAATCATTGAAATCCATTAAATAACATTAAAATTATGAATATTGCAAAATCTTAATGAAAACAAAAATTATTTAAATTATTTCAGGTAGATAATAATATATATTCGAGGAATTGATTATTTTTATGGCTATAATTTGTAATTAACTATTTTATTCGCTGATAAAATGATTGACGAATAAATTGTCAAGTATGATATAAAGAAATTGTTAAATTATGAAATTTTCATTATTAAGTCATATTGTTTAGGTCGGAATATAAAAATTAATTTGATAAAATATTTTTAAAATTAAATTACCTGCACGTTTTTTAATAGCAAAAGTAAATCGACTGTCAAATAATTGAAAATAGTAGCCATTTTATAAAGTAAATTTCATAAAAACTGATTTTATTTTCAAATTTATCAATCGAATCACATCACTGCTAATAATATGTATTTTAGCATGATCAGATGTTTCGTAAAATTGTTCAATAAAGTAATTTTTATAACAATACTAAAAATTCAACTACTTTCATATAAAAATTGATAAATAAGATAATTTTTAAGGCAAAATTGAATTTGTTCGTCATGAATCATCATCGTCGAAACATGAAACATTTTAATTAACGATTTGATTGCTCGCAAATGATAAGTTCCATCAATTAATCATATATACATTCATATATTTAATTCAATAATTACTACAAATATACACAAATAATTAACGTGCATTTAATAAAGAATAAACATTGCATAAAGTGCGATGTATTGCAAACGGACTGTAAATGTTGAATTGAATATGTATGAATCTATAAATTCGGACAGATTATTATCTACAGATATGGAATTATGTAACACTCCAATTATTCTGCATTTAAAGTGAAGTTTTGTAAAACAAATTGTTGCGAATGCATTTATAGATCTTTATCAGACAAAAGTAAACTAGAGGTGTATGGCATCGTGCCTTAAAGCAAATTGCTGGAACTTCCCGTACCGTAATGAAATATTCGAGAAATTTTAAACGCTTTCAAATATATTATTACAAATACTGTAACTTTCATTAATTTTGCTATCTAGTCATATCTGAGCAATCAAAATCAAATGTGAACCATAAATCAATTTATCTCCACAACATTAACAACCGTTCGTCATTTCATTTCACTGAACTGTCATTTTTTTAACATTTAGCTTTGTATCTCCGAAACCGCTGGGCCTACCTTTGCCAAAAACTAATAACCACTTTTCCCCGTCGTTACGAACTGAATGTTTTTTGGATCATACAAATTAGATGATCCGTTCTCTCAAAAACTCGATTTCTATTTTCCGCACTCTTTGCTCCATATCTCCGTAACGGCTTGACCTGCCTTTGCCAAAAACTAATCAGCACATCTCCCTATCAATAGAAATCGAATGTTTTTTAAACCATTCAAATCGGTTGATCCGTGCGCCCGAAAACGTGGACGAAAAAAGGCGGACATACGAAACACACACACACACCCACACACACATTCATTAGTTTTCTGAGGTATGCCTTAAAATGTTCAGAAACCTCCAAAACGTCGAAAAATGCAAAAATTTTCATTTCCGATGTTCGGCCCATTATTATAACTACCCTTCGGGAAGTTAATTAAATGATCAAAGTAGTAATCAAAGTCATTCAATCTAATTTTAAACGTATGTTATGAAAAACATGCATGCAAATGCGTTCTAATATAATTTTGAAAACAATTCAATCGAAGCAAATACTAATATTGGGTCTATTGTTTAATTAATAACTACTCAGTAATATCATTGTAAAATAAACAAATACTGAATGAATAGAAAAGGCGTACAGATATTTAAAACATTTAACTAATTCATAAAAAGAAACCAATTTGCAAGAAAGTATCAAAATAAAAAGCTGAATCGCGAATTCCTTAACAAATTCATAAAAGAAAACTAATTTGTATGAAACTAGCTTAATAAAAGTGTGAAAACTTTTAGAGAAATTAGGAATCATTTACATGTAATGGAAATATGCCAATGTTATCAGCTATAAATAACATTATAAGACAATAGCGTAAACATGATTAAATTGAAATAAATATGTGTTATTGGCTTCACTGCTTGAAATCAATCATATTTCCGCGAATTTGGTGTGATTGTATTATATATGAGCATGCCATTTAAATAAATATCACTTACCACAGCGGCTTACAATCATTCTTGATTAGCTGGAAGTCAGCATCCATACTACGATAATAAAAACTCCTTGGAATGTATCACAAAAATCACTTCACACACAAAACTTTGACATTGTAATAATACTATTTTCTAATAAACACTACAGCAATTGAAATTTGAACAAATATCAGTACTAAAATGTAAAGTTTGCAAGACTCCAAAGAGGTTTAAAGTATTAACATGACGCCAATTGGACAAACATCTGAAAGAAATAATTATTATTATAAATCAATATATTATAATAAATCAAATTAATTTTTATTCACAAATACTCAATCCAAATGCATATAAATTGCCAGTAGCCTGATGTGCTGAAGAGACACAGGTTGTTCAGTGAATAAATGTACTAAATATAATGTAAAACAATAATCAAATCAATCCCAATTTCTTTAAATAATACATATTTACAAAATTTGTGAAATAAGTGTAATATTTTTAAGATCTATTTGATTTTATTAACTACAACCAAATGAAACCATACAACAAAATAATAGTATAATTACCTTAACTTCAAATTTCTGATACGCTTCTCAGGATTCCAATAGTCTTCTAAATACAAATGAGTAACAATTCAATGTACTTGGCTTCAGGTAAAATCTGCAAAATAGTATAATACTAATAATAGATATATAACTATCAAATTCATTCATATCGAGAGACTGTGGAAAGAAAAGTTTGTATGTTATTGTGACTAGCTAAAAGAATATTGTTGCCAGAATTGAGTTGGCTAGTTGATGGTGACGAAGAACTATTTCATCATGAATTAAAGTGTTGTGGGGCTCTTTACATCTATAGCAAGCACCTTTAAAACTACGCCTCTTAGCATCATGTCCAGGAAGTAAACAACGAATGCACAGTGAATGCTTTAACACCAGATCCTTGCGCCCTGAAATCTCCAACTCCTTAAACTTGGAACATTTGTACAATGGATGACTTCCCTTACAACAACAACACGGAGATACTACCCTTTTCACTGTACTAACATGAACCATTTTAGAATTTCTCTTTCTCTTCATTTCTCTTTAGAATGAGTTCTCTAAGGCACAAACCCGCAGCTCCAGAAAGGAAAAAAATTGATTTACCGTTAGAAGAACTTTCCATTCCTGGACAAATTCCATGCCATGCCATGCGAGTATGGCTGTCAACCTTCTTGTTTAGCATATACAACAGAATAAGATCCTAATGTTTAGTTGGTTCATATTCAGTTGAAAGAGCACGTATTTGTTGCCTCGCACTTTGTGCCTGTTCCTTTGTGTATCTGTGGTATGTTGTCGATCTGCTGCAAATGGGAATTCAGTATTTAAAATTTAATGTCATAAGTCTTACACAGTAGCTCATAGGCCGTCCTCAGTGTAAATCTCATTTGTTAAGCTTAAAGATGATATTAGTTTTGCAGCAGACGATAGTAGAGCTCCCTTTAGAGAGTGCAACTTTTGGACTTGCAGCAACTTTGTGTTATTGTGAATTAACGAGTTATAAAGATCTAATAAATTGGGTCCACTCACTATAATCACCGTTGAACTTGGGTAACGTGATCTCTGGTAACTTTACATCTAATGCTGGATTTGAATCTACCGACCTAGACAGTGATAGGGTACCAATATTCGTAAGAGCATTTAAACGTGACATATGCTAAATAACATGTACATTAATTAACTTATTCTATTCGTACCTTACCTTACAAGTTACAATTGTCGTAAATACCGCTTTCACGCCACTCCGGTGCTCCAAACCCTTGTATGACAGTGTCTTGTGTTGTTATTGTATAAGGTGCGACATAGCCTTCTGTGCCAGGTGTGCTCCAATTCTCAGATGAGCCCCAGTAACACGAATAACAGCGATGACAAACTCTGGAGCCTCGTGCGCCTAACTTCTTCTCAAATGAAATCTGCGTGCATTCACTCAATTCACCAATAATAAGTATTGCTGCTCTATTGTTGAGCTTGAGCGTATTCAATTCTTGTTTTTAGCGTGAATAGTTTTAAGGTTCAACCATTTTTGAAACTTTTTATCAACTTTCTTCACGGCGAAAAAATCGGCGTCCTTTTATATATATTAGCACTGATTTTATTAATATTATCCGTGATGAAGAACCAAACTTTATGGTATAAAAAGAAACACGCGAAGAAATTATATACAGAATCTGTTGAACACAGAAATAATAATTTTACATTTACGAATACTTGTTGTAGGTTAGACGGCGGCTTAGACATTAGACAAAAGTGACAGAAGTGACAGAACAGATTGTACAAGGCATGCAACATGCATGCATGTGCATTTGCAGAAAGCAACACTGCTGAAATTTTGACAGGTTATGGTCAACACCGGAGCAAACTTCAGTGTGTATGGGTGTTCTGGCAATCGTAATTTTTTGTTATTTAATGACTCCTTTAAAAACGTAACTAGTTTCTTTACAAAATCGGCAACATTATACAAAACCAAATATGCACTAATAGAAAACCGAATATCAAACATACAATTTCCTGAAAAATACAAAGATACATTCTTGGAACGCTGGGCGACTTATTGGAAATTCTTTTTAAAGGACTATAGAGAATAATTAATGAACATATTCACTATTTCAATGGCAAATTGAAATGTTTCAACATAACCTCGAAAACCATTCACTCACAATGCCGAATATTATGCTGAAAACCTTTTCAAATTAATAAAAAACAAAAGATCATTACTCACATTACTTTATATTCACATTTATTTATTTATATTCATCACTAATTCAGTTATTCACCAAATAGATGCAAAAAGTGTGAAGCACTGGAATACGAACGGACTGGAACGGACCCTAGTATTCTCATAAGGATTCTAATGACTAATTTGGCGCAAAAACACAACATTCACTATATTAATCGTTTTGGTATTGTTTAAGGGCTTTCCTAATCACTTTTGCATACTTTTCAATGCAATAATTAATGAACATATGCACTATTTCAATGGCAAATTGAAATGTTTGAACATAACCTCGAAAACCATTCACTCACAATGCCGAATATTATGCTGAAAACCTTTTCAAATTAATAAAAAAACAAAAGATCATTACTTTACTATGACGCCTGATATGAGGAGGAAGACATTATGCTTGTGCTCTTAATATCGCTTTAGCTGTTGGGTATGATCTAGATACATCAGTATTGTATGATTTATCAATATGACAATATGACTTTTAATATCCTGTTCTGATAATCCACTCATTTATTTTTATCATTTTCATTTTGTTCATATTATCATATTTCTGTACATTATTATATATATATATATATTTTTTGCAATTAATTTATTATTTAAGAAAAATCTATTTTCTTTTCCTAAACATATTGTTTGCTAAAATCTCATCAAGATCATGTTTCTTGACAGATGTCCTGAAGATGGAACGTACCTAGTTCCGAACGTTGACAGTTAACAAATAATTAAATAAAGAAATTGTTTATTAAAAACTTCTTGTTTTTTATTTTGTATTATTTTTGGATTCTTGTTCGAAACTCTACAATATATATATATATATAATATATATATATTAGTATTAATTTATATGATTTTATTCGAAACTCATATATATATATATATTATATATTATATATATATATATATAGGAGATTGCTATTTGAGAAGAAAAATGATATTTTCATATAGTGTGAACCAAAAGTTCATTTGCCTTTAAATCGGTTCATGTTGTTAAAGAATAGAATTCCTATTTCTGTTGCTTCCTACACATAAATAAAATTCTATTTAATTTATCTAGCCTTTGGTGAGCAAATACACAAATAAGAAGAAAGCATAACTAGCTGTAAGTGTAATTTTGTCTTTTAGGGCAATTAAGGCATCGTGCCTTAAGGCAAATTGCTGGAACTTCCCGTACCAAATAATAATTGCCTTTGGTGCAGATGGATTGGCATAACTGAACACTTCAAGGCGAGAACTGTTGGAAGAAATCCAGACAAATTAGAGAATGCATGATGACAAATCCTAGGATTACTAGTAAATGGCAACCACCTAATCAGAGACTTGGAATCAAATATAGGTAAGTTACAAATAAATTGCTTGATAATATTTAAAAAATTTATCAGTGATAAATTTATATTACAAATTTAATTTACTCGAGTATTGTAATCAAGTAATATAAATGATTTAGACATTTTATCAGTTATTTTTTATATAATTTGAATAATTAATGTAATAAATAATTTTTTTTACAGAGGATGAGGGCAATGCAAAACAAAGAATATTGGAAAAACATTATTAGCTGAGGTATAGGTTGCTGCTGCTGCTGCTGCAGCAATTCTTGGTCGACTATCAAAATAAATGGAAGGCTCTCGTGCTTGTAGGTAGATACAGATAAATTCAATATTTTATTCAAAATAAAATGAAATTTTCATCGTTTCATTCTTATTATTATGAAGTTATTAAACACAATTTTCTTTTTCAATGAAGGCTTTGAAGTAAACAATGGAATTCAGTAAAGATTAAAAGATGAAAAGGGCTCAGACAAAAAGTTGCAACATCATCGCGCTCTGCAAAGGGCTTAATCAGGTTAGTAATCATAAAATAGTTACAATTATATACTTGATTATAAAAATTTGCAACAAATTATAGGGAAAAACATTACAAGTAATTTTTCATATTTATTGCAATATTTTACATACCATAATTGTTATTACAATTAATTCATAAAATTTTTATTTCTACATTCATTTTAAACATAAATTTTATTTAAAACTTCAATTTATTTAATTACTGAAATGTTGATTTCCAACAAAATAATTTGAAAATGTTGAATGAGAATAAATAATTCATTTATTGAAATTGACATTTACTGAAATGTTGATTTCTAACAAAATAATTTGAAAATGTTGAATGAAATAAATAATTCATTTATTTCAGTGAGGACAAATGAATTCGAAGGTGTCATTGTCTAGGGCAGAGTTTTGGAGGCCACATTATCTCTGCTGCGAAGCTGCTGCTGCAATTCTTGGTTGACTCTCAAAATAAATGGAAAGCTCTTCAGCAATTAAATGGGATGTTTCATTCTGAATAAAATAAAGTTTATATCGTTTTTATCATTATTATGATGAAGTTATTAAATACAATTTTCTTTTACAGTGAAGGCTTTGAAATAGACAATGGAATTCGGTAAAGATAGAAATGTACCAAATTGATGGTGATGCTAAGAGAACGTAGGTGACATATAATACTATTGAAATGTTATAATTTATAGTATCTCAAAAATCTAATTTTTTCAGAGTAAATGATTTTCAAAAATGTTAATCTTTTTTTAAAAAAAAAAATGGTACGGAAAGTTCCAGCAATTTGCCTTGAGGTTTTCCCACTGATATTATAGTTGTTTTGTAACATCAACGTTCTTATTACGTATTAACGTTCACTTATCATTATAACATACCTAGACGTCTCCTTTTGGGTTGCATAACTTCACTGGGCCTTTCTGGTCTTCTTCTGGGCGAAGAACCCTTAGAGGCGCTGCGCCGATACACCGGTGTAGGGGGCGCTAACAGCACAAAAGTAAAAAAGAATATTAATCATATATATTAATAAACAATTAACATTGACACTGAAATATATAAAGATAATATTTTAGTCAAAATTATCGAAACATATATGATATATATACAATTTTGTAATACATTAGTTAACAATACTACAAATCCCATTTTAAAAAAAAATATTTCAATTTCTTTAGATGCCGACTTTGTCACTGTCGGCCCTGAATCATAATTTAATGCTGACTTAAATCAAAATTGAGAATCTATCATCATTCTTATTATTAGTGATAACACAGATTAGCAAGCCAGTTAATGATTACGCAATACATTAGCTAACGCGTCGTATAATAAAAAATCGGCCAGGCCAGGCCACGCGATAGTAAGTAAAAGAAGTTTGGGAATCACTGCTCTAGACCAACAAGGCAATTATAATTATCTTTATCTTCACACTTACTTTACACACGTTATGTAACATGAACGTATTAGATAATAACTTTCAAATTAATATTAAAACATACCAAGATGGCCAGCACTTAATATTCTGCCACGTGTTGGGGGCGATCGCGGCCCCGAGGGTTTACTGACCGGAGCTTCAGAACAAAAATATAATTGTTATTATCTTTATCTTTACTAACACTAACATTAACGTATTTATTGCACAATAAGTCAATTAATATTAAAATATACTTATTATAATCCTAATGGGGGCGCGGCCCGGGGATCTCTGTGGTGTTCTTGTCATTGGCGTGGCGGGGCGTTCACCAGTTGTACCTTCAGAACCAAGAATGTAATTATTATTATCTTCATTTCATTTGGCATAATTCAGAAAAAATCAGAGTACAGATGCGTGTGTTTTGTGTGCATGTGTGTGCATGTGTGTCCGCATTTTTTCGGGCGCACGGATCAACCGATTTGAATGGTTCAAAAAACATTCGATTCCTATTAATAGGGAGATGTGCTAATTAGTTCTTGGGAAAGGCACGTCCAGCCATTTCGAAGATACGGAGCTAAATGTGTACAAAATGGCAGTTTTTGAGAGAACTAAGCGTCCGATTTAAATGATTCAAAGAACTTTCTGCTTGTCTTAACAAAATAATTGATTTTGGAAAAAAAAAATTGTTTCAAATTTTTTCCCTATATGGAAAATAATTCAAATTTTATTTTTAATTCTGACTAAAGTTCTAATATACTTTAAACAAATAATTTCATCTTTGCAATTCAGTTTATATAATTCTTATAAATATTAGACAATGTTTCAATTATTATAATAATCTATTTGAAAACATTCAATATTCCTCGAACATTTCGTTACGGTACGGGAAATTCTAGCAATTTGCCTTAAAGCACGATGCCATACACCCTATTAGTTTATTTATTTATTTAATCATAAGCAAGCCGTAATTAATAATAATAGATATTATTTCAGACTCTTGTCCAGCTAATTGTCAAAATAATTAATATTGAAAGGATAATAATTTTTTAATAATCATAATAGCTGCACGAATTTCGCTTCTGAAAAAAAGAACTGATTCATAATTAAGTTCATCATATTAAAGTCTATTTGACCAGGAGTCAAGCTCAAAATTCTTGCACAAGGTTGAAAGTTATACTCATTCAAAACCGTAAAAATTGAATTAATAAAATAGCAATAAAAAAACATGGTTGTACAGGCGATCGAATGGTCAGACTATATAGATAAATGATAAGGATTATGCAAGAAAATAGTTATTGAAATCAAATTGAGAAAATCAGCAGTGTCATAAAAGCTAATCCTTTAAAAAGTTTAACTAAGAGAGCATCAAATTTTTGCTGTCTAAGTTTCGGATATTGAAGTAGAAGTAGAAGTTTATTCATAAGCTGAATACCTAAACCGTCGATTGCATTGAAAGTTTGTGTCTAGTGTTGTAGTTTGAGGAAGACGAAGCCATATCAAAAAGTTTCCAATTGTTTTTGATGAAAGATAATGTTACCAGCAGATAAATGCATGGGACAGTTAGAATATTGTGTTTTTAAATATGGACAAGGAAAAAATGATTCGAATAGCTCTTTTCTGAAGCGTAAATATTTTAATTAGTTCGGATGAAAAACCCAGAATTGGATTCCGTATGAAAAGTGAGAATAAAAGTTGCCCTAATATACTGAAAGTAAGCAATTTAAACCAAGTTTGGGTTTTCGGGTGCGCAACATGAAACATGTTCTAGATAAAGTTGGTGATAGTGAGATAGAGATGTGATCAGGATCAGACCAGATAATTGTTTAATTTTGTTGCTTGCTGTGATATTTGTTTTCAACATAATAATAATATAATTAGAGGTGCATGGCATCGTGCCTTTAAGCGAATTGTCGAAACTTCCCATTCCGTAATTAAATCGAATCGAGGAATAATAGATGATTTCGAATAGCTTATTATAAATACTGTAACATTCATTATTCGTATTATAAATATAAGAATAAATTCGACGACGACGTTTATATATGTTTATATAAAAAGTAAATAGAAGTAAAAAGAACATATCTCATATCTCTAAGAATTATATAATCTAATTTGCAAAGTTAATTTATTTGTTTGAAGTATATAAGAGAGTTTTAGAATTTTAGCTAGCATTAAAATTAAAATTCGAATCATTTTTCATATTTAACAGTGAAAAAATGGTAAATTAAAAAAAAAAAATGGACAAAAAATTTTTTGCTTTCCTAAACTAATCGATTCTTCATACTGCAAAATGTTTTTTGAATCATTCGAATCGGAAGCTTTGAAACTACTGGGCCTGTCTTTTCCAAAAACTAATCACCGCATCATCAATACATGTTGAATGTTTTTGAATAATTCAAATCGGATGCTCTGTTTTCTCAATAGTAAACGATTGCTTTTAAATATTTCAAATCAAATCGATCCGTGCTCCCAATATGTGAACAGAACACACAACACACAGCGATTTTTCGACTAAAACTCAAAATCGTCAAAAATCGAGTTACGAGGATGCGTAAGAAAGCCATCGAAATTTTCGTAACATTTTGATGTTCAATTAATATTAAAACATACCTGGATATCTCCTAATTGTTTCCCCTCGCGGTCGCTCCATAGAATGCCCGGACCTCTGTATGGATGTTGTAGGAAAAGGAAAGGTTTCACCAGCTGCACCTTCGGAATAAGAAAAAACTTACTATTCTTTATCATTCCACCCACATATATTGCAGATGATACAACATTAATTTACATATTGACGTTAACATATACCTGTAGGTCTTGGCCTTTGGCTTGGTTCCTTGGCCCTTTGCTCCGTATTTAGGGCGGGGGGTTTGGAACCGATAAGAGACCTTATATAATTCTATATGGAGCCCATATGGCTCCTGAGGGTATTCTCGAAGGTATTCCACTCCTTGATTGTAAGTACTTGAATCTGAAACCAGAATGGACGATGATGATAATATAATAGAAGAATTCAATTTTTATCTTTTCACAACTCGCTTAAGGAAAAATATCACTTGGGCCTAGTTAGTGATGCTCACCGTGCATATCCAAGCCTAATAATAAGTAAAAATGTATGAGAAAGCGTTGTGTTAGGTAAGGACGACATGGCAAATACACGTGATTTATTTAAAATTTGAACTATTATTTGTCGAAAATAACTGGTATGGATTTATTGCCACCATTTTGAAAGTTGCTGCATCTCAATATTCATTGACCAAGTCAATTATTTGCACACTTTAGCAATTTTCTTAAGGGGCACACCTAGTGTGAAATTTTAAAAAATCGAATTTTCATTTTTTCATAATTAGATAGGCTATGCCTTTAAAAATACCATTCAAAAATTTTAATCGATATCTTGAATAGTTTTGAGTCATAGCCATTTAAAGAGTATATATTACAGTATATAGTACAAAGATCGTTTTTCTTTAAATGCTTTTCCTCGAGACAGCATTTTCCGAATTTGCTGCAGTTATTACTCAAAAACAAATGATCCGATCACTATCGAATTTTTTACATGTCTATATATAGCTCTCCGTAAAATGATCGGATCAAAAATCGAATTTGGCAGTCCAAAAAACGACCAAATTTTGGGTAAAATTCGACTATTTTTTTTAAAACGCCGCCGTTTTGTCAATTTTTGATTTTTTTTATGGTAGGTCATTTCACAGACCAATATTATCTAGTTTAACGAGAATTTTTTTAAATTTCATTCATGTAGAAGGCTGGAATCACTGCAGCAGTGAAGGGCCTTTTGTCGCGCCGTTTGGAGATCGACGATAACTAAAAAATATTTATTTTGTTCTTCAAAACGTATACTATGAATTCTTAAAACATGTGTAAAATTGTTCTTAAAATTTTGAAATGATGGAAGCATTTTGTTCAATATAATTTCCCAAAAATCACCTTTTTAAGGGGGTATTCTACTGTAGAAGCATGAATTTTGCCCGGTTTTTGAAGCGCTGTATAAAGGAATCAATATTTTTACTATCGATTTTTTTATCATTTGTTTATTGATATTTTATTATTACATAAAAAAAAAAAATTAGAATTTACAAAGTTATGAGCAGTCGAAGTGGGGGCTCAAAAAAGAGGGTGTCCTGGCGTGCATGATTCCAACCCTCCTGGTGATCCGAAACATTAAAAAATAGATGGATTATTAATTATTATAGATGCCGCTATCGTATGAACCTTGGATAAGTTAAAAAAGAAATTTTTGTTTGAATGGCGGCAGTTTGAAAAAAAAAATTTTTTTCATGTTTTTTTTTTAACATTCCGATTTTTTAAAAATACTAAATGAAAAGTTA